ACTTTAGCTACCAAGAGTAGAGGCTCATTCTCTCCCTAGTCTCCTTTAGAAATAAAATCAGACAAGAAAAAAAAAATTAAAAAAATTAAAAAGGAGACAGAACGTGGTGGCAACTTAAAAACTAACTTAATGTGAGCTTTTGTGCACCATGTCCACTTCCTCTGACATAAGAGCAAGACTACATGGCAATCATTTATATGTAACCCCATGACATGCTGGGGATACAGAAGGACAAAGAGATAATGGTTGGTTAGTATAGTAGACACAAGCTGCAAATTTTGTGACTCAGCATGGCATTTCACACTTGGTAATGACTTAATTTTTCATGTCTGCCCTATAAAATGCTTAAAGGCTAAAGATTACTTAAAGTAATAATGGTTTTTTTTTTAACTTTTAAATGATGTGTTTTAAGAGATGTAGCCTCTGTTTTTCAATGTGCCTTTTCAGGCTACTGTACAAGCTTTTTCATTTTTTAGAAGGTAAGCTACTGCAATTTTGAAAATTAATTATGGAGTATTTGCTTGCAACTTACATTTAATTTTCATACATTTTAAAGCCTTTGTGCCTGTAAAACTTCTGAATGTTTGCAATATTTGAAGTATTTTTGTGCTTATGGAAAATAGAAGCAATGCAGATAAATAAAGCTTGAAGAATTTGACAAATAGACGTTGGCTGGCATCACTGCAACAATGAGAAGACTTATATCCTGATACCCAGATGAAGTTTGTTATGATTGGAAATCACTGATTTGATTCCATAACACTTTTTTTGGGTGGAAGGCGGGGAGATAAAAGCCAGGTGATATAAACACAGGCTTCTGATTTTCCCCTGGAGGTCTATAAAGTTCTGTAGGACTCTTATGAGCTTCAGGCCTCAGCCTCCCTGAACTGACATGTATGTATTTTACCTTAGCTGTTTCCCTTTGAAGTATTGCTTTGTATAGCTTCTTTTCCAGGATCCCAACTTTAAAATCTTGTTTGGTTAAATTGAAATGTTCTAAAGCAGGTTTCTGTCACGCCATTCTTGATGTTTATGCCCATTAACTCTTTTGTGCACAGATTGTCCTGCTTCTCCCATGTAGAGTGCAGAAGGGCATTATTGGCAAAAGAAAGCATAGATCCTTAGCAGAGAAGCAATCTGCCCTTTAGAACTCAAATATCCTTTACTCCAGTGATCTGAGACACATTGGGGAGGCCTCTTCAGCAAGGTCAGTTTTGCTGGATTTGGGTTTTCCATTTTGGTAGGAGTTGAGACACCTGTTAGTGACTCAGTTTTCTTATGGCAGCAACTGAGTCCCCTCATCCTTTCTCAAGGAAAAGAAGAAGAGAAAGAACTGAGAAGGATTGTCTTGATGAAATCAGAGACATCTTGGGGCGCCTGGAGGAGCCTCAGGAGTTCTTAAGAATGTATAATTCCCCGGAATTAGATTTTTAAAAAGGATACACATGACATTACATAAAAGTGTTGTCTTTGTTCCTTGGCCTTTTTTCTCATCTAAAAGCCGTTTGCAGCTCTTTCATATGACATACTTTTGTGCTTTTATCTTATCGGTGATCTGTTTGGAACTTTTTCATTTGTTGCACTGTTGTATTTTTATTTGTTTATTTTAGTCTCTCATGGGGTTGTCGTAAACCTCTGCAGGATTTCTGCAAATCAAAAATGGTATCATTATAAACATATGCATACAAGTATTAATGGATGATGAATGAAGGAGAAGCACCAGCACTCTTGGACACCTAAAGGCAGACAAAGCTTGATAAGCCTTTTACTGCTTATCTGGATTTACAAAGCCATAAGATCTGTCTAAAAAACTTAAGATACAGTAACTGCCTTTACTCCAAATTGAGGTGAAAGAATGGATGAAGTTTTCCATGTCAGTTAAAGCTATCTGCATAATATTAGCTAATGGTAATGTTCATACAAATAAACATCACACTGTCAAAAAGTATAAAACAGGTATTTGGAGGTTTTTGGACTCATCTCAAAATCCCAGAGAGATTACTCAGTCATGAGCTGTCCAGCTAACTCTGATGAGTACTTAATTCTGTTTCCTGTGACAGATTACAAAGAAGGAGAAGGCCTGTTTAAAAAGAGAATCCACTGGTGTGTGTGTGTTTTGGGGATGTACTTTTAAAAAATCCCTCAGGAGGTATCAACAACCTTCATCTCCAACACATTCATAACTCTGTATATCCAAGAATAATGAAAGCAGAAAAACACATGTGCAGAGCCAGGGGAAGTAATTTGGAAAAGGTTAATGACTGTACAAAAAAAAAAGAATAACAACTGTCCATACCCTTTCCACAAATTCTTCAGAATGTTCTTTGTTCTCAGTAAGATGAAACTAATGTTCTAATTGTGATACAAATGTTCTAATTGCCTTTTTACTGCAGGAGACTTCAAAGAAGGTAAACACTTATCAACAGGAACTGTGTGTCAGACCTTACATGACAGTTGTGAATAATTTCTTTAAAGAGGCATTTAAATGAAGTCCAGTGCTACAGACAAGAAAACACTTTGACAAAGTTAAAAGCTGCTAGTGATCTAAGATGGTACAGAAAGCTAGTGAAATGTGAGAATTAAGATTGTCTAGATATTCAGAGAACATAAAAGTGATTCATAATTCTACAGTTTCTATGTGATCTTCTCAGTTGCATTCGCCAATTAATTCAAAGATTTTCAGTGAAACAACTTTCATTGCGAAAACACCACTCCAGGATGAAAGAGTCCATGAGTGCAATCCTTAAACATAAACACTTGTAGAACTATGGTGTTCACTGATATCACCGTTCATTAGCAGGAAACACTGATGGCTGCTGCTGCTGAAACACTAAACATAAGAAACTCAACTGAGATAGCTCCTCTTTCTTCCTCTCCTTCTACTAGAACTGAGGCTCATCCAGTGAACCAGAATGGTAGGAAGTTCAAGACAGAAGATGTATTTAAGTATTTCAAATAGTACACCATAAAATTGTACATTTTAAGAAGACACAATGATGCTTGCCAACTTGGATGACTTTTAAAAAGGCAACAGAAAAATTCACAGAGGATAAGGCAATGTGATGCTTGCTAACTTGGATGACTTTAAAGGGAACAGAAAAATTCACAGAGGATAAGGCAATGACGGTTATTGATCTCTTGACTCTTATACATACCTCCTGGGATCAGAGGCAGTATGCATCTCAGTACCAACTGCAAGGTAACATTAGCAGAAGCATGTTATTGCATTCATTTTCTTAAAAGAAAAATATTATCAGGTAAATGGACACCAGATTATTATTCTGTTCTCACCAATCAACACTGATCAACAGCAGAAATTGTGCTCCAGATTTATCTGTAGGGTGAGTCTTGGTGGGTGGCAATAAGATAAAATCCATTATTTTATTTCTACTTCAACTGTATTTTTTCCAAATCCTTCCACTAATAGTAGCGTGCAATGGCAAGGTAGCTAATAACATCATTTACAAGTTAATGGCTTCAGATATTACTTCCAAGGAAAATTCAAGGGCACATCCACTTTATGTTGTCTTTTTAAAATCTATTAAAAGCCATGGGCAACATGTGGCCCATATATGCCCCCTGACTTATTTTTGTTGGTTCCAGAGATCACACAAACACCAGTGTGAAAGCACGCTCTTATAATTTCCAGTGAGCATGATTTTCATTTAAAACAAGCCTCCAAGCAGTACACGTTGCCTTGACTTAAAACCATACAAAATTGTAAGTGCGTGTCCAGCCAATTCTGGTTTCTGGGCAGTGCAGTCCACAGCAGAAAAACTGCCCCCTAGACCTGCCAAACGTGCCCAATGTTGCTAGACATGCCCTAGATGACTTGTTCAAGGTAATCTAGTAAACTGAAAAAGTTAACTATCATTTTAGTATTGAATTTAGCTTATCGACACCTTACTAAGTACAGTGGTGCCTCGCATAGCGAGGTTAATCCATTCCAGATTAACCTTCGCTATGCTGAAGCATCGTTGAACGGGGCAGGGATTTCCTTTGGAACGCACTAAACATGGTTTAATGCGTTCCAAATGGGCCAAATACTCACCGTTGAACGAAGCTTCGTAATGGCCGGCAGCCATTTTCGCGCCCTCGCCTCACTTAACGAGGGCGCGAAAACGCTGCGTGCGGCCATTTTGGGCCATTTCCGGGCTTCCGGCGGCCATTTTGGCCGCCGAACAGCTGATCGTCGGGCTTCGTTTTGCGAAGATCGGTAAGCGAAACGCTTACCGGTCTTCACAAAGCGAATTGTGCCCTATAGGAAAAACGTTAAGCGATCACATTAGCGATCCGAAAAAACGGATCGCTATGCGATTTCGTCGTTATGCGGTACCCTCGCTAAGCGAGGCACCACTGTACTCAGGTATAAGGCTAATGTCTAGCCATGAACTCTATCCCTTTAGTACTGTATGACACACCATGGTGCATTTTCAAGAGCAGGAAAGGAAAAAAAAGAGATATTACATACCCTTTCCTGCTCCAGGAGTCTCAAGAAGCACAACAAGACTCTGATACTAACTTGTTTGGAGCTGTGAGCAAGAGTGCTCTTGTTAAGGGATGAAATATACCCTGCCACTTTGCTGTAGATCATCCCTTATACATAATGACCACACACTTATTTTCCACACCACACTGCTAAACCTCAGCATTAGACATAGCATGCCATCCTCCTCCAAGGCTTCTATCTCAAGCAGCTAGAAAGCCTTATGGCCACTAATCCTCTCTCGGTGAACATTCTTCTTTTGTTTTTGGGTGAACTACCATTTACAAGAAGTCAATAAAATATTGGAACATGAAAAGCCCAAGCTGTTTTCACTGTTGCTGTTTCTTTCTTAGCATCAACATAGTACACTTTGTTTATTTAAGGTTCATAATAAGCTATGTTTATCAATAGTGCATCATTCACTAGACTTGAAACAAACAACTTGGCCTGGTGATATTTTATGCCAGAAATAGAAGATTGTGTCTGGTAAAGTTCTTCGGTTTGTCTTTTTTTCTCTCTCTCTCAGTGCAATTCTATCACCTGCTGTCTGTCCCTCTGGTCTTCCTCATCATCTGTATAGCTTTCATCATAAACTCTAAAAACAAAACAAAGTTTAAAAGGTTCAGTTATTTATTTCTGTAAAACACAATGCAAGTTATCAAGATTGAAGATAAAGAGAAACATAATCATTGCATTTTTCTTCTGATGGATCTTTACTAGTCTACATCTTGTTGTTGTTTAGTCGTTAAGTCGTGTCTGACTCTTGGTGACCCCATGGACCAGAGCACGCCAGGCCCTCCTGCCTTCCAGTGTCTCTTGGAGTTGGGTCAAATTCATGTTGGTAGCTTTGATGACACTGTCCAACCATCTTGTCTTCTGTCGTCCCCTTCTCCTCTTGCCTTCACACTTTCCCAACATCAGAGTCTTTTCCAGGGAGTCTTCTCTTCTCATGAGATGGCCAAAGTATTGAAGCCTCAGCTTCAGGATCTGTCCTTCCAGTGAGAACTCAGGGTTGATTTCCTTCAGAATGAATAGGTTTGATCTCCTTGAAGTCCAGGGGACTTTCAAGAGTCTACATCTAGCAACTATCTATTTGCAAGAATCAGTTTTTATTGCCCTGTTTCTTCCTTCAATTATACTGTTTCGGAAATATAAACATAAAGAAAACTAAAACACAGACTACCGTACAATTGCACTCATTTCACACGCTAGCAAGGTTATGCTCAAAATCCTCCAAGGTAGGCTTCAGCAGTATGTGGACCGAGAACTCCCAGAAGTACAAGCTGGATTCCGAAGAGGCAGAGGAACTCGAGACCAAATTGCTAACTTGCGCTGGATTATGGAGAAAGCCAGAGAGTTCCAGAAAAATATCTACTTCTGCTTCATTGACTATGCGAAAGCCTTTGACTGTGTGGACCACAGCAAACTATGGCAAGTTCTTAAAGAAATGGGAGTGCCTGACCACTTTATCTGTCTCCTGAGAAACCTATATGTGGGACAGGAAGCAACAGTTAGAACTGGTCATGGAACAACTGATTGGTTCAAAATTGGGAAAGGAGTACGGCAAGGCTGTATATTGTCCCCCAGCTTATTTAACTTATATGCAGAATACATCATGCGGAAGGCTGGACTGGAAGAAACCGAAGCCGGAATTAAGATTGCCGGAAGAAATATCAACAACCTCCGATATGCAGATGATACCACTCTGATGGCAGAAAGTGAGGAGGAATTAAAGAACCTTGTAATGAGAGTGAAAGAGGAGAGTGCAAAAAACGGTCTGAAACTCAACATCAAAAAAACTAAGATCATGGCCACTGGTCCCATCACCTCCTGGGAAATAGAAGGGGAAGATATGGAGGCAGTGTCAAATTTTATCTTCCTGGGCTCCATGATCACTGCAGATGGAGACAGCAGCCCTGAAATTAAAAGACGCCTTCTTCTTGGGAGGAAAGCGATGACAAATCTTGACAGCATCTTGAAAAGCAGAGACATCACCTTGCCGACAAAAGTCCGAATAGTCAAAGCTATGGTTTTTCCTGTCGTGATGTATGGAAGTGAGAGCTGGACCATAAAGAAAGCAGACCGCCGAAGAATTGATGCCTTTGAATTGTGGTGCTGGAGGAGGCTCTTGAGAATCCCCTGGACTGCAAGGAGAACAAACCTATCAGTTCTAAAGGAAATCAACCCTGAGTGCTCACTGGAAGGACAGATCCTGAAGCTGAGGCTCCAATACTTTGGCCATCTCATGAGAAGAAAAGAGTCCTTGGAAAAAACCCTGATGTTAGGAAGGTGTGACGGCAAGAGGAGAAGGGGACGACCGAGGATGAGATGGCTGGACAGTGTCTGCGAAGCAACCAACATGAACCTGACACAACTCCGGGAGGCAGTAGAAGACAGGAGGGCCTGGCGTGCTATGGTCCATGGGGTCACGAAGAGTCGGACATGACTAAACGACTAAACACAAAACACAGAAAATAAACAATCTTTTTTAAAAAGTGCAGTATAATACAAAACAAGGAAAATAAACAGACCAGGAAAGGGAATCTTTTACCACCTAGACTAAATGTAGACAGAGAGAGGTTTCCCATTCATTCCTTAGATTCATTTATTGTTACGTCTTAACAACCATTTGAGATAAGAGGCTATTTAAAACTTACAATACCAACCAGCTATCAACCAGCTGAAATCTTAAACACAAGCAAACGGAAATAGTTAGAGGTCTTTATCTTTAGAGCCATCCAACAAAGAATTAAGATGTGTCAGGTAAAAATAAACTGGCAGACCTCCTAAATTTGGAGGATATTGTTACTGGCCTACTGTATGGGAAATGGCCAGTAGTGCCGTGTTTTCAAGGAGACATAGAACAGGGCTCAGGAAAAGCTCTCAAATGAACACTAGCAGGCTTTGATAAAGCAGAATGAGAGCGTGTCCTGAATAGTTTTCTCATTAGAGGACAAGTCCTATTTTTAACAAAAACTGGAAAAGGTTAATGCTTTTAAACCTTGTATAATTAAACATTTTCTCGGATGAGGTGATAATTGGAAAACAAACTATATTACCAAATAATTGGGGAACATAAATTAACCTACATGACAGCGCCAATCCTCTGGCAACCATGGAGACCTGTACTTTATGCAGAGAGAACTCTGTACCAAAATGCCAAATGCATTATATACAGGAAGTGTGGCTTCTTTCACAAAATGAGAGATCTTACATTTAGTGATTTATTTTTACAGTTATTTGTACCATCTTTTATAGTTTCACTTTATAGCACAATAAACAGTTGGGCTTTTTCCAAGAATACCAAAAGATAAACAAAAGAACAGATAGAAAAAGAATAATTGAACATAAAAGAAAATACTACGACAAATGATTATTTGATTAAAATTTTGGAGTAATTTTGGATTAACTGACCTTATAGTATCACCTTTGCTATAGTCTCCTATTTCATTGCTATTATGAAAATCAGAAAGATTTTGCCATGGCCCCTTTGAGTGCCTGCTGAAGTCTCCAGAGGTTAAGCCACTGAAATTTTCACAAGGATCTGAAATGTTGTATATAAGTTTCAGTAACAGGAAATGTAAACTCTAAAATGTCTAAAATTCTTGCAGAAGAAGAACAGTCAGGTCTATCAAGGTATGTCAACTTACACATTTAAAAAGTAAGAAAAACATTCTAGTTAAAAATATTGCTATGGATTCTCCAAATGCAGTATCATGTTCTACGACATATATGCCTCTTATTACATCCTCACGGGAGCAGCCCACACTACGGTTCAGCACATTAGGGCTAAATTAGAAGTGACAGCAGTAATATATGGAAAAAGCAAAACCTATAATACTGAAACTGACTGTGTACAATATTTCCACCTAAGCATTGTGCCACTCTAACTTGTACAGTTCTCCCAATCCACAGAATACATTAATAAGGATGGACAGTCGCTGGGTAGGTTGTGACAATCACATCCACTAAGTGAGTACATAAATACCTGATTGAGAATGGTTTATGCCTCAGGCTATTTAGTTACTGTCCTTCCACTATTAGGAGTCGGATGACAAGAATCTCCCTTATGTGAACGTAGGTCATTGTCAGCTGTGACAGACAGTATCCTTCCAAGGTTTCAGAAAGGATTATTTCCTACCCTTATTTGGAGATGCCAAGAAATCAGCCGGGGACCTCTACATGTGCTCTACAACTGTGTTCTGACTTTGTTCCAATCCAGCATCCAGTATCTGTTGGGGCCTCCTATCCAAGTACTATTCAGGCCTACCCTACTTAGCTTTCAAAATCAGGTAAGGGTAGGTGTGTCTGGGATCATGTGACTGGCTTTGGGGTTGGTAAATTGCTCAAACCAAAATGCATTACAGTAATAGAATTTATAAGCACAGGAATCCTAGTGGGGAACGTTAAAAGCTAGACCTGGAGATTTCCAACGTGGAACATCTTTCTTGACAGCCATTATGCTCCCTAGCCCTCCTGATTTTATTATTATTTTTAATGTATAATTCAGAGGCAGGACCCAGAGGAAGTGGGCAGGGAAGTCAGGGCATTGCCTCCAAGTGGGTGCTTGGCTTTAAAACATCAAACACCTGTTCAGCTGATAAAAGAACTGGCATGAACCTCTGAACTGATAGTTTGTGCCCATTTCTAGTCACTAATGCACAAGGTTGCCTTAAGAGAGAAGCAACTTGACAGCACATAACAAGAGCCGGTTTATCCCAAAGGAAAAGCTAGTAGCAATCAAAGTAACACATTAACACTTTGAGGACTCACACTGACTTGCTGAAAGAGGCTATTTTAGCTAGGGAGTCGATGGCCAGGAGTGCTTTTTCCAAAAGAAAATGTTTACATTGAACACTGCAGTTAAAGTGAAATTGGTTTGGAAAAGATTGCCAAATTTTACAGGTGAAAGTGAGGTGGCCCTTGTCCAAATAAAAAAAGTTTATTGTGCCCATCTAAAAATGAAAATCTTCCCCTTACAGAAGGAATACAATTTGGAAAAAAAAAAAGCAAAGGCCGTAGGTCAGTTGAGAAAGGGACAGAAAAACATGCTAAAGTATGAAAGTGAATGCTAAGAAAAAAATTTGTATTAAACAAAGTTGAATAAAATAATAAAGATAATAAACAACTTCTATCAACACATAGACACATACCCAAGGGTTCTGAAGGACAGCTTGTACCGTTACAGCCCCCAATGTATGGCCCACAAAAGAAAATTAAATTATCAAGTGATAACTGCACAACATGCAAAATAATCCCCATTAATGAGTTTGCTAATCCTTTCACAAGCTATGCCATTTGACTTCAACCAATTCAAGATATTTTTCTGCCCCAGTCCCAGGCTTCTCTTGATGCTCCACAAGCAGTTCGATGGCAAACTGATCTACAACAATGACCTACCCTGCCAAAAACCACCCCCCAGCCCAATTTTGCGTTGGTTTTCCTCTGCTTGCTAATCCAAGAAAACAGTATGATGGAGCTGTACCATGGGAACTTCCCCATGGGATCTTTGGAGGTATAAAGAATACTATTACAGTTATTCTCTTTTTAAAGTCAAAGAAGAAAAAGGGAAGAGAAAGTGGTTCTTATTTTAACCGAAAATAGGCCTTTTTTCCTATTCTGGTTCAATGAAATACAAAAAGTATTGAAACAGGAGGGAACGCTGCAGAGCAAGGCTAAATTGGTCCATCAGTTTATGTCTCCCCTCCCTTGCCCAATATTGCCTAAGAAGTAGAGCAAGGAAACATGATAAATAAAGCTGCTTATGTCCCAATGTTCTGTCCTTCCTTGTGCATAATGTAGAGAATATGGAAAATGAAAATACCAAGTTGTACATAAACACACACTATATAGATAATCAAGCAACCAAAAATACATCTTTCAGAATAGGAGTTTAATGATGTTGCATAATTACCTGAATTACTTTGCAATTCATCTACTAAATCTGCTAAAGCTTGTTGATCAGTACTATATTCCCAGAAAGGATCATCATGTTCAGTGACATCAATGCTTTCAATTTCTGAAATTTCAGAAGCAGCTCGAGATAAGGGCCAAGCAGCTGGGTTTGTGGGTCCTGCATCAAGGGCTGAAGAAGGACAAGGAGTTCACTTAATGACTTTGCATAGGGAAATATCTGCAGACAAAGATTTTGAAGAAGGACTTTCTGAAACAAACATGGAAGATAATTTGGTGTTTGTAGCCTGCTTTAAAATTTTAATCAGTGAAAGATCTCTACTCCAGTGTCCTTCCTGTTCTAGATAAGATATTACTTGCTCAAAAAATGCTCTCATGCAATTTTGGAGCTAGGAAGCTCTTTAATATATACATCAATAATGCACTCCAATTTAAAGCAACATTTAAGGGCCCCTTTCATACTTTATAGAAGGTTTAAACTAGGAAGATGCCTGATTATCCAAACATTACTGGCCTCCAACATGTGAGCAAAGGAGTACTTGTTCTCCTCTCTTTATTTTATTTATTTATTCTATTTATACCCTCCTATCTGTTCATTTTGCTGTGTTCCCTCTCTGTTTCATTTTCTCCATATCAACAATGAAGCTGTATAGTAGAGCTTTTTACTTGCTTATGCAATCTCCACAAAAGCAAGAATTCTAGAAAACCAAAGCTGTTGCCTGCATGTATAACCTACTTGTAAGCAAGGACATCTCCTCTGTGGATATGTTAATTTCCATGTGCAGAAAGCAGTAATGAAGACTGGAGATATTAGAAGTTCCCACTCATATGTTGGAAAGAACTGGGTAAATAATGCCTCAGTAAGGCTACACTGATTCAGATTGTTGACCTGCCTCCCCCAGTACTGTCAACACTGACTGGCAGGGGAGGCAGGTTTGGGCAGGATTCTTTCCTAGAGATGCAAGGGATTTAACCTTAGACATCTACATGCAAAGTTCATACTCTATTACTAAGCTTGACCCCTTCCTTCTAGAAAATACAAGTGGGATCTGCAACAAAATGTACTGTGCTCCAGCTCAAGATCCAAACTACCAACCAGGTCCTCTTCCAAGATGCTCCATCTTATTCCGTCTCCTGACTCCCATCCCATCAGTCAGTCAGTCAACATTCTTGGCTCATTCATGCACCATGCTCAATATTTGTCACACTGTTTTAGTCCAACACCCACCCACCAAAGGTTTCTTCTTCTTTTTTAAAGTACTGTATTTTTCGCTCCATAAGACGCACCTTTCCATAAGATGCACCAATTTTTTAGGAGAAGAAAACAGGAAAATATAATCTGTTTTCTTCACTCCATAAGACA